CGAAGTCCCCCGCCAGCCTGAGCGACGTCATGGTGGTGGCAAAGCGCATCAGCCCCAGGTGAGGAGGCCGCGGCCCCTTCCGAAGGCTGCTCCTGGGAGCCCGGCGCCTGCAGAGCCCCCGGGAGCGCAGGCCCAGCCCAGCTCGGAGCTTTGGGAAGCGGCTTCTTCCTTGCTGGCTGGTCTTGGGGCCACTGGGGCCAGAGTCTCACAGGAGCCACTTGGGCACCGAGGGAAGCGCCTGCCCGGCTGGGGACTGTCGTGTGTCTAAGGGCCAAGCTCCCACTGCTCCCATGGGCCTTGTGCTCCTAAATCACTTGGGCACTTTGGCAGTTGCCACCCTTGGCTCTCAATGGGGACTGCTGGGCAAAAGGCGCCCTGGCGATGTGGGCACTGCCCCGGGCGTTGCCAAACGGGAGTGGGGCTCATGGAAATCAGCTCCCTGGCGGGCACACCTGCAGCCCACGCTGCCCTCCCACATGGAGGCCACGGCACGTGCAACGTGCTAGCCATGGCACGTGCAAACTGCAGCCACGGCACGTGCAACGTGCTAGCCATGGCACGTGCAAACTGCAGCCACGGCACGTGCAACGTGCTAGCCATGGCACGTGCAAACTGCAGCCACGGCACGTGCAACGTGCTAGCCATGGCACGTGCAAACTGCAGCCACGGCACGTGCAACGTGCTAGCCATGGCACGTGCAAACTGCAGCCACGGCACGTGCAACGTGCTAGCCATGGCACGTGCAAACTGCAGCCACGGCACGTGCAACGTGCTAGCCATGGCACGTGCAAACGGCAGCCAAGACACGTGCTATGAGCCAAGCTCTCTCGCTTTTCCCCTAGGGTGGATGATGTTGTGAGGTCCATGTACCCTCCTCTGGACCCCAAGCTTCTGGATGCCCGGTAAGCCCTGGGCCGGTAAACGCTTTGGTGCCAGGGAGCAGCGTCTGTGGGGCTCCCGGCAGGCAGGCCCGTGGCCCAGTGGGGAAGGCCCAGCCCTGGAAGGTGGCTGCTTCCTGCTAAAGTCCCTTTCTCGGCAGGCGAGGCAGGACTTCCCTGGGTCCTCACTGCCGGGAGCAGTGGGCAGGGATTTAGCCCCCTGCCGTGACAGGTGCCCCTCTCGCGTGGCGGACAGACCCCGTATGGTGGGAGTTTGCGCCTTGCCCCGGCGCACGCGTCCTTCCCAGCCTGCTGGAGCAGCCACTGCCTCTGGGGCAGGGGCCGCGCCTTCCCCTTCCCACGGCTCCCCGCGGAGCACGGCACAGCCAGGCTGTGGGCTGACAGAGAATCCTAGAACCATAGAGAACCAGCCTCTCAGCCCCAGGCCCCCACCTGCCCCGCTTCACGCCGCGCCGCTCGGCAGCCTCCCCTTTGCACCCGCCTGGTGCCCCCAGCTCTCGCCGGAGAGCAGGAGACCAGCCTGGCAGGCGGGAAGGGCTCCAGGCCAGAGCCGGGCCGTGCGGGCGCCGAGTTAGTGAAACCCACAGCGCGCTGCTTAGCAGAGCCGGGAGCTCCCCGCGCTAGCGAGCAAAGGCCACAGAGCCCCAGGGCTCCCTCTGACCCCCCTCTGAACGCAGCATCTGGGGTACAGAGCAGGCCAGTGACTTGCCCAAAGTCAGGGCTTGAGTCCCAGTCCACTGCGCTACCCACTAGGCCACACTGCCTCCTGCTGAGCTTCATAAAGCTACTGGTGAGCGGTGCCCCATTTTGGCACGCCCCGCCCCCCCTTAGCATATCTCCCAGGGGAGGCCGCAGCAGACAGACGCAGTAATGGTGCCCGGTCTCCTTGCAGGACCACAGCCCTGCTGCTGTCAGTCAGCCACCTCGTCCTGGTGACCAGGAACGCCTGCCACCTGACCAGCGGCATGGCCTGGATCGACCAGTCGCTGTCGGCCGCCGAGGAGCACCTGGCCGTGCTGCGCGAGGCCGCGCTGGCCAGCGAGCCCGAGAGGAGCATTGCAGGCGGTGCAGAAAGCCTCCAGCAGGAGCAGTCTGCTATCTGATGGCGGTGCCGCCCACCCGGGCCAGGCTGGTGCCCGCATTCTCGGGACTCCCGAGACTCCCGTGCCTGCGCCAAGCCCAGCGCGTAGTGTCCCTGCTGCTTTGTAGTTGGGTTGCAGCGCCCGGCGCGCGGGACAGGGGCGCTGATCAATAAAACCCCCACCAGAAAGCAGGGCGTGGCAGGATTTCCTTAGCTGAGCCCTGGGTTCCCGGTCTGCTGGCGCTTGGGCAGCCGCTCAGGAGAGATTTAAATGCCACCCAGCGGAATAGCAGGGCGCCCACAGCCAGGTTTGGGGGTTTACTGGTGGTGCACATGCACATGCTTCGGTACCCAGAACATTATTCCGCACATGAATGGAAAAGAATCTGCACCTGGTGGAAAAGCTTAGGGGGATCCCCGGCTGAGACCTGAGGCAGCTCCTGCCTCTCAACACCCCCAAGGCTCAATAAACTGGTTGCGGCCTGGCTGCTGTGGACACTCTGCTGGGAAGATGCTGCAAAGCTGATGTCCAAGGAAGACCCCTTGCCTGGCACCAGCGGGTTCCCTGGGAGTCGGGCTGGCCCAGTAGCCTCCCCCCCGCCAGGCAGCCCCAGCTAAGGCCATGGGGACCGGTGGAGATGGGGGAGGGAGGGCCCCTGCGACTCAGACTGGGACAGCCCACGGGAGGCCAACCCGCTAGCCTGGAGCAGTGGTGGCACCGTCCTGCCCCCTGCTGGGGCAATGCTGAGCAGGACCTGGCACCTCGGGAGCGGGGCCAGCGGGGTGCTGCCCCCAGGCAGACAGGCCCAGGCCTGGACCCGACGCCGGGACGAAAGCGGCAGCGCTGGGCGCTCGAGAGGGAAGGCCAGTCTGCAGCGGGAAGTCGGGAGAGGGCTGGGAGCCGTGACGTGCCGAGACCCAGGCGCTGCCCAGGGTCCCTCCAGCCCACACGAGGCCTGGCTGGGAGGGCACAGGGCAGGGATGTGCCCCCAGGGTTCCCTGTGAGCTGAGCACTTGGGGGGTGCCCAGGAGAAATTCAGGTGCCGCCCAGCTGACTAGCAGAGTGCCTCCAGCTGGCAGCATGCATTGCTACTGGTGGTGCACATCCGCACATGCCTCGGTACACAGAACAAAATTTGTTCTGCACATGGATGAAAACAATGAGAGGGAACCTTGTCTGCAGCCCGGGGCCAGAGCCAGGCAAAGGGCAGGCTCCCTAGCAGCCCGCCAGGTCTCCCGCCGGCCGCCCAGCTGACTAGCAGAGTGCCTCCAGCTGGCAGCATGCATTGCTACTGGTGGTGCACATCCGCACATGCCTCGGTACACAGAACAAAATTTGTTCTGCACATGGATGAAAACAATGAGAGGGAACCTTGTCTGCAGCCCGGGGCCAGAGCCAGGCAAAGGGCAGGCTCCCTAGCAGCCCGCCAGGTCTCCCGCCGGCCAGCGGCACGGTCTGGGCCAAGGAGGCTAATCCAGGGTGCTCTGCCGCCCGCGCGCGC